CTTAGCACCCAATTTTCCTGTCTCAGTCAACAAGTCAAGAACATATTTTCTTTGAGACAAGAATATACCCTTCTTACTCCTTGTCACTTCAACATGCAAAAAATACTTCAACAACCCTAAATCTTTTGTCTAAAACTGGGTATGAAGAAAGGATTTGAGAGATGAAATACCTACACTGTCACTCCCAGTAATGACAATATCATCAACATACACTACTAGTAAGATTATGCCTACCTCAGATTGTTTATAAACCACTGAGTGATCACACTTACTCTTCTTCATCCCAAACTCCTGAATTGACTCACTGAATTTGCCAAACCCAGCACGAGGGCTTTGTTTCAGGCCATACAAGGATTTTCAAAGATGACAGACTTTCCCTTACTCCCCCTGAGCAACAAACGCAGGTGGTTGCTCCATATACACTTCCTCTTGGAGGTCACCATGTAAAAATGCATTCTTGATATCTAATTGATGTAAAGGCTAATCATAGGTAGCTGCCATAGAGATGAATAAACTAACAGAGGTAAGTTTAGCTACTAGAGAGAAAGTTTCAAAATAATCAACCCCATAAATCTTGGCATACCCTTTAGCAACAAGATGGGCTTTAAGGCGAGCCATTGATCCATCAGGATTTACCTTTACAGCAAACACCCATTTGCACCCAATAGCTTTCTTCCCGGTAGGCAAATCTACTAAATCTCAAATACCATTACTATCTAAAGCCACCATCTCTTCTACCATAGCAGCACGCCAACCAGGATGGGACAAGGCTTCATGAACTGTTTTGCGAATTGAAACAAAATCCAAGGAAGCAACAAGCGAACTATAAGAAGAAGACAAGTGATCATAAGAAACCAAAGATGAAATAGGATAAGAACACTGACGTTTACATTTGCGAAGAGCAATAGGGAGATGAAGACTAGGATCAAGATCACTAAAGACTGGATCTGATGGCGAAGGGAATGGTAAAGGGCATGTGGTCTAAGCCTCTGGTCGTTTGGAATAGACATGGACAATAGGTGGCCGAACAGGTGTAGGATCATGTGCAAGAATATCTGTGGTACTGACAAGATGGCTTACAGTATAAACTAGTAGATCATCTTCCTCCCCTTAACTATCATAACTAAAAGATGAGAAAAAAAAAGAGTATTTTCAAGGAAAGTGACATCTGTGGAGACAAGATATCGGTTAAGAGCAGGAGAACAACATCTATAACCTTTCTGAAGATGAGAATACCCAAGAAAAACAAACTTGAAAGATTTTGGATCTAATTTGGTGACCCGGGGACAAACATCACGAACAAAACATGTACTACCAAATATCCTAGGTTCAAGAGGAAACAAAGACTTGGAAGGAAAAAGGACAGTATACGGAATATCACCATGAAAGACGGAAGAAGACATCCTATTAATCAAAAAACAAGTTGTGGAGACAACATTAGCCCAAAACTGTTTAGGTACTTTCATTTGAAAAAAAAGTGCTCGGGCTACCTCAAGGAGATGTCTATTTTTACTCTCGGTAACTCCATTTTAAGAAGGTGTATCAATACAAGAAGATTGATGGAGAATGTCATTCTGAATCATATAGGATTGAAATTTATCAAAAAAATATTCCTTGGCATTATCACTTCGCAATGTATGCACAGAAACATTAAATTGTGTTTTTATTTCAGCACAAAAGGCACAAAAAATAGAGAATAACTCAGAACGATTTTCATTAAGTATAGTCAAGTGACACGAGAATAGTCATCAACAAAAGTAACAAAGTATTTAAAACCAGATTTAGACACAATAGGATAAGAACCCCAAACATCATAATGGACTAATTCAAAAGTGGACATAGCCCATTTATTGACTATAGACACTGAAGGGAGATGATGATGTTTGACAAACTAGTATGACTCATAATCCAATGAAGATACATTTTGAAATTGAGGACATAAATTTTTTAAGGAAGACAGAGAAGGATGTCCCAACCAACAATGTACCTCAAAGGGGGTCAATACACTTGAACAAGCAATGGATCTCGGCACCTGTGTGTCAAGGTAGTAGAGACCTTCAGACTCATGACCTCTACCAATAATCCACTTCGTTATAAGATTTTGAAATAGACAAAAATCAAGAAAGAATGAGATACAATAATTCAAGTCATGAGTGAGTTTACTAACAGAGATTAGATTCAAAGAGAACTTAGGTAGATTTAAGACATTAGACAATGAAATTGTTAGAGTTTGCATTAATAGTTCTAGAACCAAGAACACAAGAGGTTGATCCATCAGCTAAAGTAAGACTAGAGGAGGTTGTATGTGATTGGAAAGTGGAAAATAGATTCGAATTACCTGTCATATGATCTGAGGCATAAGAATCAATGACTCATTTGGATGATGAGAAAATAAGACATGTAATGGAGTTACCTGACTCAACGATAGACGTGATAGGATAAGTAGTGGATTTTAATGATTCTTGGTACTAAGAGAATTGAGCAAATTCATCTGCAGAAACTAGAATAGTCTTATCAGAAGATGAAATATTAGAAGTTGCAACATTTGCTGATTGGCCTCGTTGAGACTTATTTTGGGGTTTCTTACAAAAACGCTTTGTATGGCCCGGCTCATGACAATAATAGCACACAATTCCTCTTGACTCTTGACTACGACTATCAACATCTTGATTACGATTGCCCGTTCCCCTTCCTCTGTTACCACTTTTATTATTCTGACGACTTACAAGAGCACTGTTATTAGTCTAAGCCAACGTGAAGCTAAAGCTTTCTGTACACAGTACTCTCGTAAAAGTGTCATGCAGAGAGGAGATCTTGGAACTAGAAAGAATCTGAGATTTGATAGTCTCAAGCTCTGGAGAAAGACCTGCAAGAAAACTCATAACCGCCATTTGCTCTCGTTGAGCCTACTGAACCTTTACATCAGGACTAAAAGGCAACAGAACATTAAGCTCCTCATAAATTCTTTTAAAATCCATAAAATAGGCTGTGAGAGACCTATCTTGTTTCTCTGCACGATAAAATGCTTTACATACCTCATAAATACGAGAAATATTCCTTTTACCAGAATATAAAAAATTCAAATAATCCATTAACTCTTTAACAAACTCACAATGATTAATGAGGCTAATAATCTCACCATTAATGGAATTTCAAATCTACAAAAACAGTCGTGCATCTTCCCTCATCTAGGTTTACCTTATATTATCAGTAGGAGGATTATTAGTAATATGATCATTCTTATCAATGCTTCTTAAATAGACCCGAACTGTCTTGCCCCAATCCAAATAATTAGAACCA